ATATTTATAGAGAAGGTCATAGTTACTTGATGACATTTGTGCAATGATTAAGAAGACATCATAGTTGATTGTTATCATTTGTGCAATAATTAAGTACAAATGCAAGTTGCTTGTTGACATTTTTGTAATATTTGTGGATATATCATAGAGGCTTGTTACAAATGTGTAAATTTTATGGACTCATTATAAATTGTTTGTTGGCATTCACACAATGTTTAACAAAGGCTCAAACTTAATCCTACGTATCGGAGGCGTTATCTTCAATGTACTATTCTCGTTCAGATATAAAAAGAACTCCGATATTACAGCACACGTCCTGAAACCTGGCCCCATTTGTAAACATATCTGAACTTTGCGCATATTATTAACCCATTATCATTGTTATCACAATATCATGTCCACGTTGACCCTAATAGTTAACTCTAGCATTAGGTCGTACCGGAACAGGTACTCTTTTTTCACATAAATGGACAGATAGTTTCAAGTGCAATTTTCACCCAAGATAGTAATCCCCATTTTGAACTTAGTCATCTTGAATCATTTAAGTATGAGCTAAACCTTCATCGGGTTTAGGCTAAGGAGCTGTACTGCGACATATATTTATGAGTCTGAAAATACTAATTGTTTTAGAGAGAGGTGGATTCTGTCTTTTTAGTGGGTCTTGGTATTTCAGAGAAAGAAGTCCAGTCTGTTTGGTGGGTGTGAGTGTTTACAAAAGAAGGCTCCAGTCTGTTTGGTGAGTTGCTCGGTATGAGTGAGAGAGAGAGAGAGAGAGAGAGAGAGAGAGAGAGAGAGAGAGAGAGAGAGAGAGAGAGAGAGAGAGAGAGAGAGAGAGAGATCAAGTCTGTTTGGTGGTACGGGTGTGGTTCGTGATTAAGCGCTGGAGAATAACAATCGGTCTTTAGTGATTGGGTGAAAATGGACACATTTTTTCCAAATATTTTGTAAGCATTTCTGACATCTTCTCCAAATTGCCATTGGAAGAAACAAATGTAAAAGATAAGATTAAAGAAAGAATAAACGCCGTCCCTGTCCTGTTTATGTACATGGTTCATGGGGCCCCTGGAGGTATAACAAGCCTGTCTTTACAGATTACTGCCACCATTACCTATTACTGTCATCTCACCTCTTTCCAGATGGGCCTGGGCCTCAGGCACAATTAATGTGGGTATGTGAAATAAATGTCCATGGGTCTGTGGTTCTTCTCTGGGTTTACAAAGGTTCTTCCTCCACCAGTTATACAGGCCGCCATGTATAGCCTATCATGTGCTGCACATAGCATTAAGCCCAAACCTATAAGAGTATATCCAATTTAAAACCATTCAATTCTACAAGTCCGTGTGAAACATTGATTTTATATCAACTTATTTATGTCCAAGGTATACTTATGAATTTGTTGATGTTACGGTCCATGTAAAGTGTCTTAGTGATTGTCGTGCTTGACCTCTAGGTAGGCTAAACTATATCAGTTTCGGTTTTCCCATTACATATTATCGCAATTTTCTTTCTTTTTTTTTCCACCACCGTGTTTAATATCTGCATAAAATGTTTACTTATCTTTATTTCACCAACTTCTCAGTATAGGGTAACCCCACCACAATACGGATAATTATCAAGAAGGACATCAGCTTTGCACTGTGCAGACGTAGGTGTATATGTTAGTCGCTGTATACAAGAAATCCACTTAATTCGGCCATAAGAAAAGAACAGTCGTCATAATGTACTTCCTGTCATCAAAATACACGTCATGACTTTGTGAAATGGTCATGAAAGGTTAAATTCTGAGTAAGAAGCCAGAATGAGACATTTTATTAAGGTATATTGGTAATGAACAATTCTGTACAAGCGGGGGTGGGGGTAGTACTCTGATTGTAAAGAAATGGTTAACTTTTATGGTAATGGTAATATTCCATTTCTTTCACTTTAGTATCATGTACCAATTAGCAATGCGTGTGTGAAAGAATAACATAATAAAAAGAATTCCAGATTTTTTTGTCCACAGATATTGATACAGTGTACAGCAGTATGGAGTATGTATGTAGAGAAAATGAAATGTCACTGACACTTATAAATAAACCATTTAATGGCAAGGAAAACTGGATTTTGAATATAATTTGGAGAAATTGAAGATTAACTGTTTTTCTGCGCATACTTTTTCAAATAAAATGGATTCTGGTCAGTTCTGAACATCCTTAGTTCCTAAAAACGGTACGAAGGCATGAAAGCCTGTAAGACACAACTTTCCATATATTTTTCCATATATTTTGGTAAATAATAATAATAATAATAATAATAATAATAATAATAATAATAATAATAATAATAATAATAATAATAATAATAATAATAATAATAATAATGACGATGATTATGATGATGATGACATAATTTTAGTTCAAAACAGTATGATGTTCCCCAAAATGAAGAGTGTTTTACGCTCAGATTGTAAAGTTTACTGTACAGCAGGTGTATAAGAAACAAAACATAAATATATCGTTTATTATAAAAACATAAAAGTTAACAGGAATTACAAAAATTTTTAAAAAAATTAAGAGAACATGCAAAATATATTTCAAGTGTCGTGTGTTACCAGAATTGATTTCATATATAAACATTAGTCCTGGAAACGTAAAAATGACGTATTAAGTTTTCGTCTTAAATCATGAAAATAAGAACTAGATATTCATCACCTATTTTTTGCGGTTGAACGAGTGTATAACATTTTTCATTATACAAGTTTAAACAGGACACGTATAATTTGCAGTTCTAACCTTAATTAAGGTTATGTGACAAGTACATGCTGACCTTTTGTGAGCCCTCTTTGCTAGCCAATGTTTCGATGTGATAACCCTATATACACCTTAGCGTATCGAGCAGATATTTCTGTGCTTCGGATCTTTTAATTTCATTGGATGCAAGCCATCGCATCCAATCATATTTAAGTTGTTCAAATTTGAACAATGTTCTTACGAGCACAGGAAGGCTATAATAGCAGATCGGTTGTAGTGGGGAAGCTTCACAAGAAGGCTATAATAGCAGATCGGTTGTAGTGGGGAAGCTTAGAGGAGAGGTAGCAGCCTTTGAAGAGGACGGACGTGTTTACCAGGAGCTCCAGGAGAACAAAGGAACGAGGAACAGAGGACAAAGGAAACAGAAGAGAAAAGAAGAAAAGAACAAAGGAACAGAAGAAGAAAGAAGAAAAGAACAAAGGAACAGAAGAAGAAAGAAGAAACAGTCAGGAAGAAAACGGAAGAAAAGTAGACGCAAGTAACACTCAAATTATTTTACTCATGATATATCGTAAAAGAAAATGACCAGCCGAAGATTGAAGAAAACAGAAAGAAGAAAGAAGATTACTACTACCACTTTGCTGCTGTTTTAACAGCAGCGAAGTGGAAAATGGTTAGTCAAAATGCCTTACACAGAGCTCACTTTGGCAAGAGCTCTTTTTCGGCTAACAACTACTTCTTTGGCCCTTAAAGGGATGATTGGAAAAAAAATATAGACCTCGCAGTCAAAACAAATTAAGATCACTAAAATGTCCAAGGTAGCTTATACCTTCCAAATTTGACACAACTTTTGGAACTAAAGGTACGCACAGTACACAAAAACTCAATACTAATAATTAGTAGGAAATTTCACAACTCCTATCCATTCGACTCGTATGTGGCTTACACATGTTTGGCTATGATAGGAGACTCCCACCCCCAATAGGTAACGGGCAGACACAGGAACTTAATTTAGTGGGCAGAAGCCGAGTCCATTGCCGGCACCGTCAATTCAAGGAAACCAGGGAGCTACAATCAAGGAGGAGGAAAGGCAGTAGGAAGCGCCCTGGGCCACATTAAAACAATGTGAAAAGGTTACACTTTCAAAGCCAAAGTATGTGGACCCAGGGTAAGACAGACACAAGGAAGAGGATCTCAACACACAAGAATAGAGAAATCAACTACGGTACCGCCCTTTGCTGGATCCTTTCCTTCGCCCTTTCCGAGCCCGGGGGTCGGGGCGGTGTAACTGAATCTATGGTGCTCATAAGGTCTGTTTTTAAGGTTGGTAGAAAAAAGGTCAAGCACTAGACTAAAAGCCCTGCCCTTAAGCTGAGCGCCTCCCTAGATTAGCAACATTATCGAAAGATGATGTCCGGCTTAGGTGGTAAACCATCTAGGGGGGTTATTACGCCCATGCGCCGGGGCACAAAAAGTGTCGAGCTCTGAGACACGGGTGAGCCCTGCCTCGGAAGGAGGGGAGGCCGCTAGCCCTTTTCAGGGCTTTAACCAGTCATAATACACGAGAGTGGATACATGACTATAATAACAGACAGTGAACAGTGAACAATGTTCTTACATCATCAAGACAAGTGGAACACACAACTTGAATAGACTTACAAATAAGCATTTTTTTCCAGTTCCGGTATTAATTGTGCCAGTTGGAAAAAAATACTCATACAATCAAAAAGATGTCGAGGGTAAAAAGCGCAATCAATTCGATTCGCCAGGGTATCATATCGGAACTTTAGCTAGCGAAAATGTTTGTGAGCAAGCTGTATACTAACTTCGGTTATGCATTGTCGACGGTCATAAAAATCGTCAAAGTAGGATATTAGTGTCTGCAGTAGAATCAGTATCGACACTAAGGACTTTTGGTGTATGTGTGTGTGTGTGTGTGTGTGTGTGTGTGTGTGTGTGTGTGATTATGATTTTTAATGTAGCTTTAACAATTTTTCAGTCATATCGCTAGGTAGATCAATAAGTAGGCCTCTGCTTTTTTTATTCTGACAGCAGCTGCTGTCAGAATAAAAAAAAAGCAGAGACCTACTTGTTGGTCCAATCGCTACGATGTCTGCAGTGTGGCAGTTTATAGTGGTGTCTAGCACTGGGGTATCATGCCGCAGACATGTAGCATGATGTCCCACCCAGTTACAATATTCTGACACCAGTCCTAACACTAACTTGTAATGCTGAGCGCCAAGCGAGGCAGATGTTAGTACCATTTTTGTAAGTCTTTGGTATGACTCGACCAAACATCGAACCCACGACCTTACGCATCTGAGACGGACGCTCTAACCACTGGGCCACCGGAGCGTTCAAATGGCTATTGGTAATGCGAACATGCTCAACAGAGCGGGTGTTGTATATTAAGGAATTAATTAGACGTAATGAATTATTAAATTTATTTTAAAAAATTGCCCATTCCCCGGATTTCACCTCCAAACATGTTTTAGCCTACATTCGTAATACTTAATAGCTGTTCACTACATGTTTGCCACCCCACACTACCCCACCCCCGAAAATAATTTTGCGCGCGCTTATGATTTATTTTTTTTTTTTGCATTACGCTAAATAGATAGCGCCGGTAGCCAAGTGGTTAGAGTGTCCTCCTCTGATGCGGGAGATCGCTGGTGCTACTCTCATCAGAGTCATGCCAACTACTCATAATAATCTTACTAACAACTGCCTCGTGTGTTAGTGTTAGGGCTGAACGGCTTGGTGTCAGGAAAATGTGACTAGGTGGGACATCATTCTGTATGTCTGCGGCATGATGCCCCAGTGCTAGACATCACTATAAACTGCCAGACTGCAGACGTCATAGCGATATGACTGAGAAATTGCTAAAGCATCGTTAAAAGTAATATAAAACACACAAACACACAAACACACACAAGCTCGCACGCGCGCGACTACGGTACTGAGGTAATTATCGGGTTGCATGAAGGATAAGCAAGTTGAAACGAGCGTTGCATTTTGCATATACACCAAACCTAAGCTTACAATGCATGTTGCAAAAAACGCTATGTCAGATAATGGGGGGTGCCATAAATGTTTTATATGTCGATCCGGTTCAATGAATGACTATCATATTACACAGATATGTTAAGAACAAAGCAAATTCCGAAAACTATAAAATGATATATTTTCTTGCTTACATTTTACTATTTTACTTCTTTTCCTCTCTTTTTTCGTCGCGTGTACATTGTTATGTAAATATTAATCAGCATAAGTGAACATCTTCATGTATTATAAGCCCTTCTTTCTTCTTACACGCCTAAAGACAATAGAAAGTAGTTGATATTAGTTACTTATCTTTAACAAACATTTGTATGTATACATATATGGGATGTATATTGGATTTTTCTTGCAAGTATGAGAACTGTATTGTAGCTGTGGTGTGTGTTCCGCTAATTTATGAGAAGGCACTTCCCGCAAAGCAAGAGTGTGATTCAAATGAGGAAAATGACAAATTTTAACGTAATTAAAAACTGATATGGCATGATACATAAACAGCTGTATACTTTACAAAATGGTCGTTTGGCTGTTTTGGATGTATGCGTTGTCACTAATCATAAATGTTAAAAAAAAACTATTGCGCATCGTGCTTCACGGCATTGAATCATGCATGTACATATCCATGTGCTTTTCTAAAGTGGATTCTACGGCGTGTTCAATAGACCATATATAGAGAAAGAGCCGACAGTTATTTGTAAAGTTAGTTATATACATATTAGTGGTGATTTAGTGACATTTGTTCTGTATTTGTGACATTGTTGGGGAGTGTTATCATTTGCATAACATAGGGTTCTTACAAAGCAAGATATAAGGAGGCATGGAGGCAGAAAAAAAAAACTTTCATGCTCGATTTATGTCATCTTTTTTAGCCAAGGTCCCGATATGATAACCCTATATACACCTAGCCTATTGAGCAGATATCTCTGTCCTTCGGGTCTTTTAATTTCATTGGATCCGTCGGCAAGCCACAACATCCAATCAAAATTAAGTTGTTCAAATTTTAACATTGTTCCTAAATGATTGAGACAAGGGGAGCACACAACTTGAATGGACTGAAAAATATACAATTTTCCAGCTCCGGTCTCTGTGTACAAATACTTTTCACTCAAATACAACTATAATTACTTTTCTCTGGTACGTAGTAATACGTTCAATGTTAAACTTACAAAGCATCATTTTTAAATCAATTGCCTAAACCATTTGCGACCCATGTGCAATGCGCCGTTGTTGCACCCTATTGGTTAGTTGGCATTTGCTTCTAAGGGAAGCAACTCATAAAATCCGATAGATGTCGTTACGACAAAGTACTAAAATATCAGTTCGATCCGTCCTTGTATAGATAAGGTTATCATATCAAAACCTTGGCTAGCGAAGATGGATTTTTGCAAGTTTTGTACAAAATTCCACTTCTCTTTACCACTAAATAGTTATTCAAAAGTATCATCGACAAGTATTATTGACATTTCTTTTTTCACTAATACACACTCCTTATTGCTGTACACTGCAACAAAGTCTGTGGAGAAAAATGTATTTTTAAATTATTAGTTACTTTTTCATAGACTCGCTCCTAAATGTTTCTGGATACTTAACTGAAAGAAATGAGACATTAACATTACCAAAGAGTTTTAGCAATTTCTTCACAACTAGAGTACATTCTCCACTCACCCAAACTGAATTAGGATTTATCAACAATTCATAATATCACCTTTCAACCAGGGAAGGTTTTGAGGAAGAAACAGGGTGTCCTTTCACATACGCTACTACTCATTAATGAGTTTTCATTGATGCCAAGTCTGTTTTGTCTATACTACCTAGTTCATCCTTATTTCTTCTTAAGTTTGATCTTCCTTCCTTCCTGTTACTCATAAGCGTCAGGGATTTTTTAAAAAACTTTTTATATTCACTTATCATATTCTGGATTTCCTTTTGTAACCCCTTGATTTCTTAGTCATCTATTTGTGTCAATTGTTGCATCAACATTCTGTTGGTCATTTCTTACTTGAGATGTATATGAAATGTTTTGGCATTACTAAAAACTCATTTTTATTTCCTTGCAGACAAGAGCTAAATTCTTTTAACATGGTGAAAGATCGGATGTACCATCTTAGGCGTTATCGAAATTGTTTCGTGGGGAAGGAGACTGTAGATTGGCTAGTAAAGCGGAAGCACTGTGAAAATAGGCGTGTAGCAGTGGATGGAATGAGGATCCTACAGGCGGCAAACATGCTGCATCATGGTAGTTTTGCTTTTCTGTTTGTTTCGGTTTTAAGCGGTCTTTAAAAATGTTTACCATGACGTATGAGGTCTATCTAAGATCGGCTGTTTAGAAAATAATGCCCAATGTCTTTGATTAGGAGGGCCATATTATGATTTGTAACTTTTCTTTCTGCACAATAATATAAACTAAAGCTCATATACATTTAGACATCAACGGTTCCCCTTCCTTGTATCTGCTGGGAACATCTACGATAGTTAACTCGTCGTTGTATGTGCGTCCACGTGCTCTGTCAGGTAGAAAAAAATGAAGGTCAGCCTGATGAACTTTGTTAGGTGTCTTTACAAGAAGACATTGACGAGAAATGCCCTTTGGTGCGGGTAGATAAACCTGCCACAATGCTATTTTGCTAACCATACTCGAGCAACTCCGTGGCAAACTTTGCTACACTCGCCAACATTCAAAGGCTGATTCACCCTTCCAATACATGCGCGGTCTTTAGTATATTGCCGACAAAAGCCGCTCAGAAAGAATATATGCTTTTCTTATTCGTTATTGTTATGTTCTCAGTTTAGCCTCCATTGAGTGGTCTTTGTACACCACCAATGAAAATCTTAAACTTCGTACTCCATTGATGTTTATATAACGATTCTTTCTCCAAGTGTACAACCGAACATGTTCAAGCCATGGATTGAATGTATTTCAGCACTTTATATCAGCACGCTGACTCGCATGGTTATTGTTTGATGCTTTGTACACGAGATCATGTCGGTAACATAGCACTGACACGATTGATATTTTTTTCTCCATACTTCAGCCAATAGTTAGAATCATCTAGTCTATCTAGCCCTGTTCCATCCCCACAATAATTGTATCTGAGGATATGTATTTCACCAGTGTATTAGCTGATTGGTGTTCCGAGTACTCTGTTAATGCGGTAGTACTCTGTTAATGCGGTAGTACTCTGTTAATGCGGTAGTACTCTGTTAATGCGGTAGTGATATCACCACTGAATATTTTACGCATGGAAGGTTTGGTACTCGAGCTTCACACACAATATGAAAGTATGATTGAGTTACACAGCAACTGCTATATAACCAGACATCGCAAAGAAGAAACTATTTTACGGTCATTTGCTTCTCTGCTCAGGCAAAACCCAGATAAACTACCCAAAGATGGTGCAATTTTATTATCAGTGGTACAGGTCCATTGGATCCGTATGGGATGGAATAAGACGCTGTCGTCCACACGAGTCTCCCAAAAATAGTGACATGATACTGGACGGAATTCTTCCTCAATGAAGTCAACGACCAGGGTGGAATGGCTCCAAGATGAGCTCATTGACCATGTGCTCAAGGCTAGGGCGTGCTACATTTTATCAGTGGATTTCGACTGTGGTCATCCAGTCTGGAGAGGGATGGGATCCGCCAGGCTGTATATTGTCCTTGACCCACCAAACGAAAACAACTAACAATTCTTCTATACCGGATCGTTCGCAGCTCGTGTCAACAATGACCGAGCTTTACGCTACACACCAGGACGGAGGTTACACGTATGCTACAGGTGCCCCCGCTACCAAGATCTGTGGGAGAAACAATATCATCATAGGTACATGGAACTTTAGAACAAAGGGCTGTTTGAAATTTGAAAGAACATACACATGAGCTGGAGAGGTAAACTGGAGCAATATTGGTCTCTTGGTAGTTCACTGAAAAAACTTGGCGAAATAACAACGGATCAATGGCATAAGCTCTACTTCAGCGGAAGAAGGGACAAACAAATTGCAGCTAATGCGTTTGTTATTCGTACGGTCGGGTCAAGGAAAACTTCGGTGGTTGTTAAATCTGATTAAGAGATGTTTAACGTGGGATCGGTTGTCTGCGATTGCTCCGTGGCGGGCGATCAACAAAGTGACGATATACTGTTTTGGGGGAAGCACTTTTACTATTTATTTATTTTTCACAATTGACGAAGCTTTTTTTTATTGACGACCTTGAACTGAATACGAATAATCTTGCCTTGCTTGAACACAAAGACATCCCTGCGAGAATATTTTCACGAGGCCAACACAAAAACAC